CTGGAACCCAGCCTCTGCTACCAGCTGTCCTTTGCTGCCCCAGGCGCCACTGCCCAGATGGTAGGTGCGGCCGGCCCTGCCGGGGTTAGACAGTGGATGAGATGCACCAGGGTCCCGGCGCTCACCTCCTTGCGCCCCCCAGGTGCAGTTCCCCGCGAACGGGCCCAAGTGCTTGTCCTTGGCCATGCGCGGGCGCACGCGCTACACCTTCGCCATCCGTGTCAAGCCCGACGGCGTCAGCTACAAAGGCTACTGGAGCGCCTGGTCAGAGCCAGTCAGCCTTGTCACGCCCAGCGGTATGCAGCCGGGCCGGGATGGGCGCAGGATGCAGTTATGGATGGACCAGCCGGACTGGGAGCACCTTGGGGTAGCATGGGGGGTGGGCGTGACCATTCGGTTGGAGGAACTATTGGTGGGCAAGACCACTGGGCTGGAGGGTGGGATGGGCCTTGGATGAGGGGACAGGGATGAGCCATTGGTTTATGGGTGGGGGCTGGGATGGATCATTGGGTTGGAAGGGGATATGGACTATTGGAGATTGGATGTGGGGGTGAGAGGGACCATTGGGGTAGGGAAATGAAATAAAACTGGTATTTGAGAAAGGGGGGGGTGGAATAGGCCTTTGCTGGGGGGTCAGGATGGCCCATTGGGATAAGATGGGGGTGTGGAATGGCACCACTGGGATGGATGGCCCATTGGGGGTTGGAGAAGGAGGGTGGGAAAGGCCATTGGGATAGGATGGACCATAGTCTGCAGGGATGGATGCGCCAGTGATGGCAGGGGCAGGGCCAGGGCCTGGGGTGGGGTGGCAGGGAAGTCAGCTGCTGGCCTCATGCCCATTGTCTCCTTGGCTACAGGGTGGGTAGCACTGTGGGAGCCACCACACCTCCCTTCCCTGGGTCCCAACTGGGCTGACCTTGCCCTCCTGCCTTGCAGACCTGGACCCACTGGTGCTGACATTGTCCCTCATCGTGGTGTTCCTGACTCTGCTGACGGTGTTCGTCACCCCGCTCTGCCACTGCAGGTACCTCCTGGGGGTCACCACAACCATCCCACCTTCCCCAAAACCCCAGGTGTCCACCATCATGTGTATGCATGAGTGTGTGGCTGCCAGTGGGGGTGTGCATGTGCATGTATCAGGGTGGTGGGGTGCACACGTGTGTGTGTGTGCATGCATGCATATTGCTGTGCACAGGGAGGGGGTTGGAGTGTGAAGCCCCCTGTCCCTGGCTGGGGCATGGAGAAGGCCTCACCCCTCACATGTATCTGCTCTCATGGCAGCTCTCCCTCCAGGTTCCTGAAGAATAAGATATGGCCGGTGATCCCCAGCCCAGAGCACAGCTTTGATGAGCTCTTCAGTGTCTACAAGGGCAACTTCCAGGCAAGATCCATCCTCCAAGCCCTGCAGGGGAGCTGTGGGGGAGGTGCGGGGTGAAGCTGGGGCAGGGTAGGGGTGGAGGCTGGTCTAGGGGACCTGGTCATGCCCTGTCAGAGCCAGCACTGGGCTCTCATACCCCAGGGAGCCAAACACAGACCTTACCAAAACACCAGGGGCCAACCATGAAGCTGGGATCCATGGGGCAGGGCAGAACCCCCCACTGACCCCTGTCCCGTTGCAGCTGTGGGTGGGGCAGAACAGCTCCTACCTGAGGCAGAACCAGAACGCCAACAATGCGGAGGAGAAGCTGGTCCTGCTGGAGATCCTTTCCAAGGCCTCTGACCCTCCTGACATCCCCTACCCACCCCCAAACATACTCCCTGCCCCCACTGAAGACTACCTGGTGCTGGATGAGCAGTTGGTGCCCTGCTCCCCTAGCCAGGACATGGCACTGCCACCTGATCTGGAGGGGCAGCTGAACCCCTCTGGAGTGACCCACTTGGCGCAGGTCTCACCCTCATCTAGCTTCGAGTACACGCGATTTGACCCCCACTCGGCCCAGTTGCAGCCCTGCCCACCCAGCCCCTCAGCCCACAGGGCCCTCAAGTACAGCTACCTGCTGCTCTCCAACTTTGACATCTCTTCCAAGGCCAGTCACACCTCATCTTCCCTGCCCAGCCTGTACTCCAACCTCACCTCCCCACCCCTGCCCAGTTAGATGGCCTGCTCCTAGCACTGGGGGAAGGAGGAACCTAGGCCCCTGTGGAGCCAGGAGGATGATGAAGGGGACCACGACTCCATCCTGGAAAAGGCTAGGGATACCCAGGAGCATGCAGTGGGGTGGAGAGTAGCCCGTGTGTGTGGGAGTCAGGGAAGACCCCACAGGCACAGAGCAGCCCCTCTGGGTGGGAAGGGTGCAGAGTCCGCCTCCAGCCAGCAGGGGGCAACGAGGGCACCTGCTCCCCAGGACAGAGCCTAGCCCTCCACCTTGCAGCAGGTACCAGGGCCAGAGATTGGCCAGGGGCTGGGGGCACCAACATCTGAGTTGTCTCCCAGCTTTGGGGCAGAGCAGGGTCCGAAGGGTTTGAGCAGGGGGTCTGGGAACCCGGACACCTAGGTTCTCTCCTATCCACTTGCCATGGAGCCCCACCCCTGCCCAGTCTCCCATGGGAACTGGGACCAGGACCAACTAGCCTCAGAGATGGCTAATGGCAGAGCTGCCCCATGAGGGGAAAAGGGGGTTGGGGGGTCAGAGACCAGCCTGGAGCAACTCCTAGGAAGGTGGGCACCACAGCTGCCTGTCTGTGCCAGCCAGGCCCAGCACCAGCCCAAGCACCGGCCAGGGTCACTGGGTTCCTATGGAAACCCCATTACTGTTGTTTTCTTTGTATTAAAGGAGGATGGAAAAAAAAACCCTGGCAACTCTGGAAATGGAGGTTTTCTGTATTGAGATGGCTTGGGGGGAACAGGTCTGGGAGCCTGGATTCTCTCCAGCTCCGGGAGGGGAGTGAGGGCTGGGGGGTTAAGCAGCAGCTTTGAACTGGGATTCCTGGGTTCCCTACAGCTCTGGGAGAGGATGCAGGGGGCTGTTGGGCTAAGTAGGGGATGGGAGCCTGGATGCCTGGGTTTCCTCCAGCTCTGGGAGGGTGGTGGTCACTGGCATGACTGTGGGCCCCTCCTCCATCCTCAGAACCGTTCGACCCAGGAGGCCTCTCCCTGCTGATAGCACTTATCTGCAGGGCGCAGATCGCTGGGGCCTTATCACCAGGCCCCATCTGGGGAGGCCCAGCCCCAGCCTAGGCAGGGACACTGCAGGGATCAGGGCCCTCAGGCCCAGCCCTTCCTCTCTCTCAGGGGCCCATCAGGCTGCTGGGGGGAGGGGGGGGGGAAACCTGCAGCTGCCCTCTTTTCCCCATCCCCACAGCCCAGGGTCAGCCCCAGCCAGGTTAGAGCCATGGCACTCTGACAACCACACTGGATCCCTGTGGTGTGGACGGGTAAGAGTGGGGAGAGCCTGGGGGCTGGGAACTCGAATGCCTAGGTTCCTTCAGCTCAGGGAAGAGATGGGGCTCTACATACAGCTTCCAGCCCAAAAGCCCCCCACCTCCACTCCCAGCTGGTCTGGGAGCAGCTCTGGTGTCCCCAGAGCTGGGCACACATGGGTGCTATAACCCTAACATCCAGCTCCAGCTGTAACCCCCCCCAACCCCCCCCAACCCCAGCTCCACAGAACCAGCCAGCTCAGGGGCAGGATCCGGGAGACAGGGGTTGAGCCTCAAACCTCCCCTGCTGGCTGCCGGTTGTGCTCCCTTCCCTCCCCCCAGCTGCCCCCCAGCCCCAGGGCCTCCTCTCCAGGTGCTGGGGCCATGCTCAGCTCCCCATGGGGGCTGAAGAGGATCGTCCAGGTGTGGCTGGGGGCCCCTGCCTGGCACAAGTGGGCCATCCATGCCTGCCCGGGACCCTCCTCCCCCGGAGCAGGGCTGAGCCGACAGCGGGCCGGGAAGTAACGGACGAGGGCGGCCAGGCGCTGGGCAGCGTCGGGGGTCCCGGGACTGCAGACCGAGGCGATGAGCTGGCAGCCGAGACCCGGGGCGTGCGGGCAGGTGGCACAGGCCACAGCGGTGTCCACCAGCAGGGCAGCGAGGCGGGCGGCCCCCCGCGAGCAGGGGCAGGCAGCCACGTAGTGCTCCAGACCGTCCAGCAGCAGCAGGTCAGGGCTGCGGGGCAACGCCCCGGGCAGGGCGGCCAGCAGGGGCAGCAGCGCCTGCGCGGGGACAGTACCTGCACGTGCTGCGGGGGAGGTGATGTGAGCCGCGGGTGGACGAGACCCATCCACCCCAAATCCAGCTCTTCTAAGCCCCTTCCCTTCCTTCACTAAAGCCCGCCCACTTCCAACCCCCGGCCCCTTGCTTCCTCCCTCCCGTTAAGCTCTGTCCCTAACCTCGCTCGAGCCTCCTGCCCATCCTTGCTATACTAGTCCCGCCCTTACAAGTCCCCTCCAGTCAGAGCTTACTCTACTGCTTTTCCATCTTCCT